GCTAGTTTGAAGAATTGCCAAATCCTTCGCAATGCGATCTTCCTCGGCTTCACGATGAATGGCCTTCAAATGCTCCCGTTGTAAGTCATATCTTTTATGCGCGATTTCGTTGTGATCGTCAAATTTTTGTTTCATTTCCGCTTGCTCTCGACGTCTACTTTCACCTTCCTCTGCATGTTGTTGAGTTCGCCTCGCTTTGTCGCGACCTATCAGTCGTCGAGGTGGGGAGATCTCTTCAATGTCGTTGAAGTCGTTCAGTATCTCATCCGTGTCCGCATTAAGATTGATGTTCGTGCGTGCGTTCGAAACGTCGCGAGACCTCTTCGATTGTTGTTCCGTAAATGTGTCTGTTTTATTCCATTTTAAGTATTCCTTGACAATCTTCCAAATCTTTTCGTGCTCGAAAAAGTGACCGGTCTCGACATGATATTGGTCCCTAGCCGCTCTATAAACGTCAAAATCGGTCGCACCACTTTGCTTGTGCGAGGAAAGTTTGTTGTAGACGAAACTGCATTTAGTGCACTTCTTGCTTATTTTAATCTATTTGCTACTCAACATATCATGATTGCAATAATTTGCATCCTTCTTCAAAATTGTCAGAAATTTTCCGATCACATCTTCCCAAAAAACAACTTTTCTCAGATCGTTTCCTTGCGTTGGATTTTTTGATGTCCCGCATCATACCATCGCCAATGCGTATTCCTCCTCCGCAGTCCACCATGTTGGAGGTACGTCTTCCGGTTGCTCCACCGCGACCGCGACCACTTTCTGTAACACCCCAAATTCAGAAGACCAAGAAAGGAAGGGAGAACCCTAAATCAAGGAGTCAAATCATCGAGTCCAAGGAAGAACTCGACGAGTGGGAGCGAGTTCCGTGTCGCGAATTAAGTGGCCGAATCGGCGAGTCGAGGGACTGACTCGGCGAGTCTAGTCTGGGTTGGGAAACCCTAATTTCGGGACTTGGTGCCCTATTTAAGCATGTCATTCCCATTCCCTCAGCCTCCTAAATGCTCTCTCAAGACCAGAACGAAACCCTAGAGCCTCCCTTGAGTTTGTGAGCCATTTTGTGAGACTTTGAGCATTCTTGAAGCTTGGAAGAACAAGAAGAAGGTTGGAGGTTCAAGAAGGAAGGAGTAGATCCAGAAGATACACCCCATTTGCTGCACTTATTGGTAATCAAGTCTTCATCTTGACTTTTAGTTTGTTTTATCTCTTTATAGCCCTTTTTATGAAGTTTTTGGACCAAGAATGATTACTTGTGGGATTTGGACATCCCATGCATAGATCCTTTTAGATCTGAGAGCATTTAGAGTGGTTAAGGCATAAAGGTGGAAGCTTTATGCCATTAGAACTCCCCATGCAAAGTTTAAGAGGTTGTTATGGCCTTTTTAGCAAAAAGGGCCATGTATGGATGCAAAGGTAGTAGCTTTGCGTGTTATTCCGGCCCTAGGAGGTTAGATCTGGGTCCTGGATGCCTTGTGCTTGACTGAAATCGTCAGAATAGATTTGGACATTGAGGGATTCGGTGAGTCAGGCCAGTTTCTTGCCCCAAAACCCTTCTGTGAAGGGTATGAGTTGAGTTGCACTGTTTTGAAAATCGGACCAGACCGGCCGGTTCAACCGGTAACAAATCCGGTTCAAATGCCCTAAAAACCGCTTGTTTGGCAAACCGTAAAAAACCGGCGGTTTTAAACAAACCGGTTAGAAACCGGTACTGGTTTGACAAAAAAACGGTTTTTTCTAAATGAAGACAATCGGCCATTTGACTAGTACCCTCCCATGCTACTACTTCTTTAGACGTGGGTAATAGGAACTCAAACGTTAAACTCCATCCGGTTGCTTGTTTTTCATGATTATGGTTGTGATTGAGTAGGGGTATGTTTCAAGAGGTAAGAAATTACGGTATGATCATGGCTTTTACGAGAAATCATCTCCATTAGTTACTTGTTTTTCATGATTATGGTTGCGATTGAGTAGGTGTCACACCCCCGAACCAGACGGCGGAAACGTCCGGGAGCTGTTGTGACTTAATTGAATACCATCACAATGAATATACATGAAACATAACATCATTCGTCACCAACATTTGAATATTACAACTGATAGTGTTTACATCCATTACATTGTCTCAAAACATTACATTCTCAAAAGTAGATTGTTCGATACTAATTAACACACAGCAAAACATCATTGAGTACAATTCTTCCTTCACTTTATCTGTTACCTGAGAATACAAGTATTTTGAAAAACGTCAACATATGAAATGTTGGTGAGTTCATAAGCGGTATTTGAAAAACAATGTTTTGTATCGTTTTGAAAACCACCAGAAAATCCGATATTTTCTGAAAAGAGCTTTTGAAAACATTTGTGAAGATCCATAGGTATGCTTGTTTGTTTCTATAGTTGTAAGAAAAATGTTCATCAAAATTGTGTACGTTTTGAAAATCGTGTGTATTGAAAAACCCTAGGAAAACCCGATGTTTTCCTAATTCCTTGGATTCCATGAAGTTAAAATAAAACCATTGTAGCGCGCGAAGTCATTAAGTCCAGGCGACGTCGGATTATTTTTGCGCATGATTAATTGCTATAAACACGCGTTACACAAACGACCCGTTTATAACTATACTAACAATCCCGTAGGCGTCGTCCGTACTAATCACGTCATCCAACCGCCCTGACTTCTTGTAGTCCCACATCCGAAGAGAAAAAGGGCACGAAGACCACGATGACTCCATTAACCGGTTGGGGATAAAAAAAAAGGGTACGAGGGGTCCTTGACCCGCCTCGCATAAAATACCGACTTTACTAGCAATACCATAGGACCCTTGGGGACCAATAGTATATAAGCCATTGAAAGTCCTTTTACGCTGTGTCAGATCATGTAAGACCCAACAACTCGTAAGGTAGAAGTCTTCGGGCCTTAAGATCAGGTCATTGGGCTAGCTAGGCCCAACAAACAAGATTTTACACTTTGGGGCCCAAAGATGGTGCGTAGACGTCTGTGCACTCTCACGTGTATATTGAATTACCAAATGTTTTCGTGTATGAATCGAGTTATTGTCGTGTTAGTATTTTCGAATTGTTACTGATTCGAGACCGAATCAATTCGTTTAACAACGATTTTTGGTATTGTTGTGTATGGTATTACGTAGGTAGTCGCGGTCCCAATATTTAATCAAGTTGCGTGCATTGAATTAGCCTTGAAAGTTTTCTGTTTTTAGCCCCTCATTGTTTGTAAAATTTACTCTTTTCAACCCTCTAATTAAATAATTTTCCGGTTTGGTCCTTAAATCATTTTCTTGACATTTTACACCAAAAATTATTGAAATTAATATTTTTCAGCATATTTTTCATTGAAAACAATTTAAGTCCCTGAAATTGCAGTTTTCTCGGTTATAGCCCATCTTTTTCGCAGTTTTTACAATTTTGGCCCAAATTGGAAAAATTTTGCAACTTTGGTCCTTTTTTAAATTGGAAAAGCATTTTAAACCTTTGAAAAGTACTTGGAACCTTAATAGTCCACTGTTTTACAGAAAAACACAGTTTTGGCCCTCCAAAACAGAAAATTTCGCATAATGGGCCCTATTGGGCTGAAATTGTCATTTTTAGCCCATTAAGCTTGAAATTTATATTTTTAATCCTCCAAATGAGTATATTTTCAGAAAATATTTCATTGAAACTGTTTTGACACTCCTCATCCATCAGAATTCGTGATATGACATTTTGGACCCTTTAACTTTATATTTTTATCATTTTATGTCCAAAAATTGAGTTTTTAGTCCAAATAAAATGTTATTAAGCCATTTAGCTATTTTTCTTGGAACACTTTGTATGTAGAAATATACTTGATGCTAGTATCATTAATCATAAAGTATATCTCGGTTTTTAGGGGTTTTAAGGCTAGATCCAACATTATAACACACAAAAACACACATATAAGCATAGAAATCATACAAGGCATACAAAACATATATAGATCTACACTTTCACTTGTATCCCCCCCCCCCCCCACAAAACTCATAAAAACAGAAAATAGGGGGTATGAAGCTCACCTTGGAGTTGATGGTTCGGTTTTTGGATGAAGAAAGTGAGAGATTTCGGCCTAGCTTGCTTCTTGAGAGGATCCTCAAAACTATGATGTTTCTAGTAGGATAATCAAGAGATTTGTGATGTTTCTAGGAGGATTTGATCATAGATGAATTTATACAACTTGAGGGTGAAGTAACTTACCTAGCATGTGAGTTTGATGAACTTTCTTATGCACACACACCCACTCACGGGTTTATAGAGAAAATGGAGGAGTTATTGAGGTTTTTGGGAGTGAAAGGAAACATGAATGATTTTTGGTGAGGGAGAATGGCCTTAGGCCGAGATTAAGAAGGGAGAGAGAAAGGAGATATTTTTTTGCATGGAAACATGGGAAATACATAGATACATGATGTGTATTAGACTTGGTTATCCTCCATACAATAATGAGGTGTCATGTTTAGATTAGTTTGGTCCTCCTTGTTAAGATATTTATTTATTTTTACACACTTGGGCCGAAATGGAGTAATCATGGAGGAGTTTGGGCCTTATCTTGGTCCTTACTCGAAATTATGAAGCCCAAAAATAAATTTTCGGCCCATTGGGGCAAATGAAATCTTTTATGGCCCAACAAGGCTCATTAGAGATAAGATGGATTATTTTAGGCTCACATGGCCCAAAATGCTAAAGTTTTATGAATGTGGTCTATTTAGAGCCCAACTAGGGTTTCTAGGCCCAAGATATTCAAGTTGAAGGTTTATTGGTCCATTAGGCCCAATAAGAGAATCCTAGTCCATAGTGAACTTGAACCGGGATGTCTAGGGTTTTCAACTCTTATTTGAGCATATGAAATATATTTGGATGAGAATAGAGTATAGTATTCACTTAGAGTACAAGTTATTACCCTAGGTGAATGATTGCATGGGCGTATAATTTCCTAGCAAAATTGCAAGTTGTGACAGTAGGGGTTAGAAATGGGTTCTTCAGACGATGGTTACGACGACCCATTTTTTGGAATTTACGAGCCATTTTTTGGGTTAAATGAGATGAATTTTGAGCTGCACAAGGTTTACATGGATCATGAACCACAACAGGAGTTTGTATCAAGGCTTGATAAATGTAAGGATCATTTTCTTAACATTTTACTTTGTGATGCGAACATTAGAAATGCAAGTATGACTGATGAGGTGAAAGATCGAGTGGACCATGGTAATGATTTGCAAAATGATGAGGATGCAGAGGAAGAAGTGACAAACAACTATATAATACATGATCCAAATGTTAGGTGAGATAAGATTGAACCTAAGTTAGGGGACGTGTTCGAATCACCTGCACAACTAAAATTATGTGTGACAAACTATGCAGTAAATGGAGGGGTACCAAATATACTTTCAAAAGAGTGACAATAGAATAATTGTTGCCAGATGTGGTAAGGTACATGAAGATAATAAATGCCCTTTTAGACTTTATGCAGATTGGATGTACAATGACAAAACCTTCCAGGTTAAGGCAATAAATTATGAGCATCTTTGTTCTAGAGTGTTTAAATTTAGGTCTATTGTTACCCCGGAATGGATTGGAAGACATTATGTTACTGAGATAGCAAATAAGCCCAAAGTTAAACTTAGGGAGATGATAAGTGACATCAAAAAAATATATAGATGTGTGGTATCTATAGGACAGGTTAGAAGGGCAAAACAATGGGCAAAAGAACTGGTTGAGGGTAAATTAAATGAGCACTATGCAAAAATTTGGGATTATACCCAAGAGTTATTAAGATCAAACCCTATGTTTACATGCAAAGTTGGTGTTACTAACAATCCAGATGATAAGAATTATTTTAAAAGGTTTTACATATGTTTCAAATCTTTAAGTGTTTGTTGGAAAATAGGGTGTAGGAAGGTAATAGGGTTGGATGGATGCTTCCTAAAGGGCCAGGAAAAAGGTGAATTACTCACAGCCATAGGTAAAGATGCTAATAACCATGTGTTCCTAATAGCTTGGGTTGTTGTTGATGTGGAAAAGAAGGATAATTGGACTTGGTTTATGGAGCTTCCGAAGGATGATCTTGACCTTGGTACTGGTGTAGATTTGGTTGTTATTTATGATCAACATAAAGTAAGTTCCTTTATAATTATAGTATATTTCAATTTGATTATTTCAATATGGTTATAAATACTAAGATAATATGTTTGTTCATAGGGTTTACTTGAATATGTTAAGGTTATTTTGCCACATATGGAGCACAGGCAATGTGCTAGACACATTTATGCAACTTTTAATAAATCTTTATCGAGATTAGAGTTTAAGAAGTTGTTATGGGCTTGTGCAATGAGTTGTGTTGAAGGTGACTTCTTGAGAAACATGGAAAAAATACAGACCATAAGCCCTAGTACAAATGGATGGATGGTATATGTTAGTTGATCTTTTATAATATTTTGTAGTGGTACATGAATATGATGTAATGAATCCCCCCATTATGGTTATAATATGTTTGTTATTTTATATTATGTTTTTTTATCCATACCATTTGCATCTATATTATGTACCATTTGTAATTACAGTTAGCTATTTTCAGCATTGTACTTTACCATTTAGCAATTTAATCTATATTATGAACCATATGTTTGTTATGCTTACCATTTGCATTTCACAGATAATTTGTATTTTACCATTTCACAACATTGTACGAGTTCATCGTACTTTACCATTTCACATCATTGTGCTATTTCATCATTGTAGTTTACCATTTGCATTTCACAGATAATTTGTATCTAAAATCTTCATCCAAAACAACAGTTACCAACCAATTTCAACATTGTACTTCCATTTGCATCTAAAATCAATCCAAACGTTCTACCAAAAGCCAAGTCGATCCAAACATTCTACCAAAAGCCAATACAAAATGATTTACATCTTCAAAACAACTATTGCCACCATTACAAAAATAAGAACTAAGAGACCTACAATTATTTCCACCAAAGTCTTCAACGGTCCATGCCCCTACCCCTGCTTCGTGTGAGTTGGGTCGATAATGTGGCCATCTTCTTCATTGTACCATTTGAAAAAACCACAATCCTCTTCTTCCACTTAGAAAAAAAAACAATAATTTGTATGAATTACATACCTTTTTTCAAGGTTTCTCAAGAAATTTACAAATTAGGGCAAATTGTTTACCTTGTAATTAGGGCACCCGTAAAACTTCTTTCCATAGTTCTCAGGTGTTCGAGCAACAAATACCTTGCATACATCTCCACAACCACATCTAACTATTCTTTTCTTTCTCGATGTTGGACCACCGTGGAAGCTTGATTTGGCAGACAAAGTTGACATTTTACATATGCTTAGGGTAGAAGACGGGGGAAAGACTTTAGATCGATGTTAACAAAAGACGATGATGTTTGGGGGTTAAAGGGGGGATGTAATTGGTTGGTAAAGAGGAACCCGTAAAAAACGTTAAAATGAAACATGAGGGATAAGTGTTAGGCATCTGTTGCAAAAAAAACTCGATTTGAGCATAACCGATTTTTTATGTAAATTCGGGGTCTTTTATGACAAAAACCCTTGTTGAAAACCGAAACCTAGATTATCAGACAGGGTCGAGAGTCGGATATGGGTCATTGCCTATCCGGCCAAAATCCATTTACCGAATGACGAAGTAGACGACGAATCTCTTTCACACCAACATTTTTATCAGTTTCCCGCCATTACAAAATATACAAATTCAAGTCGAATTGTTCATTCATTCTGAAATTTTGGCTTCAATTTGATGCAATCGAATTCTAGCTTTTGAAAGTTTGGATTATCGTTATTCATACAAGAACAAGCAGTGAAGAAAGAGGAAAAATGGCGGATGATGTAACGAGATGGTCGGTGACCTACACGAAGCACATAAAATAAAAGCGTAAAGTTTATCAAGACGGATTCTTAGATGTTCAATCATCTAGTCATAAGGTTGCTTTCGCATCATATACTTAATTTGTTTATTGCGTCGGTTAATTGCGTGCGAGCACACACAATGTTAATCATCGTGATGATCGTTCATTCGTTCTACTGTCTGTTTGATTCGAACTTTGTTTTTAAGTTTTGTCTACATCTTATCCTCTCATCTGGAAAAATCGACCTGAATTTGACTTCCTAATAGTGACTTTGGCTTTTATAGTCAGATAAGTTATCTGTAACATCTGAATTGATGACGTGATACATGTTAAATGTTATGAAACAAGTCGACGACTAACAAGTCAACAGCTACACCTACTGTTCTTTAGAAATCAACGAGAACATATGATGGTTTTTGATACTTCGAGTGCTTTGTTAGACCACAAAAAATCCTAGATTATCAGACCGGGTCGAGAGTCAGATATGGGTCATTGCCTATCCGGCCAAAATCCATTTACCGAATGACGAAGTAGACGACGAATCTCTTTCACACCAACATTTTTATCAGTTTCCCGCCATTACAAAATATACAAATTCAAGTCGAATTGTTCATTCATTCTGAAATTCTGGCTTCAATTTGATGCAATCGAATTCTAGCTTTTGAAAGTTTGGATTATCGTTATTCATACAAGAACAAGCAGTGAAAAAAGAGGAAAAATGGCGGATGATGTAACGAGATGGTCGGTGACCTACACGAAGCACATAAAACAGAAGCGTAAAGTTTATCAAGACGGATTCTTAGATGTTCAATCATCTAGTCATAAGGTTGCTTTCGCATCATACACTTAATTTGTTTATTGTGTCGGTTAATTGCGTGCGAGGACACACAATGTTAATCATCGTGATGATCGTTCATTCGTTCTACTGTCTGTTTGATTCGAACTTTGTTTTTAAGTTTTGTCTACATCTTATCCTCTCATCTGGAAAAATCGACCTGAATTTGACTTCCTAATAGTGATTTTGGCTTTTATAGTCAGATAAGTTATCTGTAACAGCCGAATTGATGACGTGATATATGTTAAACGTTATGAAACAAGTCGACGACTAACAAGTCAACAGCTACACCTACTGTTCTTTAGAAATCAACGAGAACATATGATGGTTTTTGATACTTCGAGTGCTTTGTTAGACCACAAAAAATCCATATATGTTGCCAATTTACAGATAGCAGTGGTGTAGATGCAGAATTAGTAAATCTATCTATGCTTTCACATGATACATAATTTATGTATATTGATTTCGAGAGATTCTATATAAAAACTATTCAGAAATTCATTTCCAGATGATAGAAAAGTATGGTTTGTTCATAACACTACAATAGCATAGCCCACTTCTATTGCTAGTGTCACTGCAAGAATCTGCAAGTTTCTTATAACACCATAAGATAATTATATTTTGGACTTCTGGTTCCTATGAGATTATATACCTTTTCAAATAGAACACTTAAAAGAAAAAGAGTACAGTGATTGCTATGGGTGATATTAACAACTGATCAATTACCTCATATCTAAAGAGCATTGCCACTTTTTTCACTTTTATCAGTCTTCTAACAGGTTAAGCTATATGACGATTGCGATAAACTTTTGGATAGCAAAATTGTGAAGCTTGATGATGTTGTTAAATTGGGTGAAACAATAACACTTGGTGCTTATCTTGTTGACATTGGTGATCCTCATGGAGATAGTAAACCCATTCCAAACTTGATTCTTCAAAGAGACAAATATACTACTGATAAGGCTCACATGTCCAACAGTAGTAAGCTAAACAATAACTCCACTTGTGTTATAGACTGGACTTATTAGAACGGATTCAATAACATAAAACAATCAAAAGATTCTAATAACGATTGAGAAACACTCTATAATACCAAATGATTACAAGTTTGAAGATAGGATAGCTGATTCGAGATAGCTACTCTCCAAGGAATAAATTCCAGTTTTCACTCCAAAGATAGATTTTCACTCCCTGCCCACTACCCTCTACTTATACTATCTGACATAACAAACTAAATAATATAAAACACCTAAACTGCCCCTAATGTCCTTTTATTTGTTGAATTTCTCATATTGCCCTTATCTATCATATATTGCAGAAGTTGATGCATAACAATACCCCACCCCCAAAAGAACCACCTTGTCCTCAAGGTGGATAGAAATGGTGTATAGCATCCAAACGCTCCCTGGTGACCTCTTTGTCTTGCCCTTTGCCTTGCCATGATCATCAATCCCTACATACGTCCCACTCACTTGCTCCACTAAATCTAATGTGAGGGACGTCTCTGCCACATACTCCAAATAAGATATCATCAACTTCATGGGATCAGTAACCTTAACCTCTATCCATTCCTCATACATGTTTGAATTAAAATCTTCCTAAATATTGGCCTTGTTATCTTTCTCAGTTGACAAAATCAAGTGACAATGCTTCGCAGAGAACCAAATTGCAGAAACCCCCTTTGTATGCCCCTTTCCAGTGAGTTGTATCAGATTCACAGCAGATGAACGGTCACCACCACTTGCAATCAGATCAAAATTCTTGTTTACATAAACACATTCTATCATTCCAACCCCTCTCCTTGAAGGAGGAAAATAGCTTTCTAGATCCTCAGTAACCACAATTAGTCTATCCACTATATCCTTCACACGATTCAGAACTTGAGGACTTGAACCAACCCAAATACACCCTTGAGCCTGCAAATAAGTCATGTATGGATTCCCAATTCTCAGCTCTCTATAATTCTCAATTGGATCTGCAATTATCCGTCTTTCAAACCGTTGACTTAAAACTATATGGGAATTACCACATGTAAGTATGTTTTCTTTTGCTCGGTGTACAACTCTATATTCTTTAGTTGTTAGGTTTGATTGGTCAAGGAGAGCTCCCAACTGATGGATGCTTAATTCCTCAAACCCATGACGTAAGTTTGGAGGGTCAACTATTAACATTACACAATTTCCACTTGATTCAATGTAATCAGTTCCAAAAAATATATATATGCAAGAACCTTGCCATCAATCTTGAATGATGTTCCCGGGATCTCAAAATTCATCACGAATTCTCTATATTTTTCGGTTAATTCATCCCCTGATATGGTATCTTCGAACTTGTAGCTTACACAAATGAGTTTATCCAAAACACAACTTACCTCAAAGGCACCAATCCATTCTCGTGACCCTATAAATGAAGTGTTTTTATCTTCTATCTCCATCACAAGTGATGCTTGTTTTTTCCGGCTGGTTGTGAGCTTTTCTTTGAGTTTTACTATTTTAAGATTCAATGGTAACAGTAGAACCTTTTCGTGTGGGGTAAACTGATCAACAAGGTTTGTTCCGATCTGACCAGCAATTCCCTTCCGCTTGTTCCCAACCATTGCCAATATCACTTGATCAAAATGATCACAAGGATGAACCCTGGTTGTATAACCCATTTTCACCATGTGAGCACTAGTCACGAGTGGAGTGGTCCATTTAGCTAACTTGTTAACATTATTCTTTATGTTTGTGAAAACTGCACCCCTTTGAGTGTTTATCTTCCTTGTTCTCAGGTTTAGAAATTTTGAGAAATCAATGGTTCCATTACCTGCTGCTTTGAATTCATTGATCATATCCTGAAGTTCAACTTCAATTCTATTTTTCCCAAGTAATCTCATAAGTGTTCCCAGTTCATTTGTTGTGATGCAACCGTATCCATCCTTGAATAGGTTGAAGGCTTCCTTCTTGATACCTCCCAGCTTGTAGCTCAAGTGATCGGTGGTTGTAGACTTGCTGGAGTCGACATGTCCGATAATGTCAATGCTAGTGTGAATAATTTCCTTACCCTTCTTTAATGCATTATCTGTAGACAAGCTTTCTCGATAGAATGAGGAAGATGAAGAATTGTGACACGACGGTAAGGGCGAGGCGATGGTACGATTAGGTGATATCAATGCCGACTCGGTTACTTTTGTTGTCGTAGGTTTAACTGCAGTTGGGCCTGATTTCTCTTTAACATTCATGGGCCAGTCTCCTGCTGTTTGATTCCATTGTGTGCCCACAGATCTAATTTTGGCCCACTCATTATTTCCTAGCCCATTCCTTCGATGACCTAGGTAACACTCGTCCGTTACTTCTATTAACGGAGCTGTCATGTTAGGGTTGTACTCCGTTACTGTTGCGGCGGCTTGAGAATACGCGACAAGCTTCCGGCGATCCCCAACTGCTCCTTCCTGCTTCAAAATCGAATCTCTCTTTTCTCTGTTCCTTGCTTCCAGTTCCCGGAAGTGATGACGTGGGTGTTTTGAATCTACGACGAATCAAGCTCTTCATCTCTTGCCAATCTCTAATGGATCGTCTTCGATGCTCCCATTCATACCACAGTAGGACGTCGTCTTCTAGAGCCCCCACGGCAGCTTCCATTGTTTCTTCATCTTCATGCGAGCAAAAAGACCTTTCCACATTACAAATCCACTGCTCTGTGTTAGTTCCATCAAACAAGGGAATCTCAGGTTTGTGAAATCTCCGGTTGGTCGTTCCTCTGTATTCGCCTCCGGTAATATAGCCGCCGCCTCCACTGGCGGAACGACCTCCTATATCAGTGTGCGACACTCCACTGTAAACCCTTGGAGCTTCCTCCATGGATAGAACCGGCGTGTTGCTAGGCTCCCCCTTAACGGTTTTCTTCTCATTGTTGATTGTTGGTCGACTTTTGGCTATGGCACCCAAAATCTCCTCAAACTTTTGATCCATCTCCTCAAACTTTTGATCCATCTTCAACTGAAGAGAGGCTATGGATTCAGCGTTCTGTTGGATCTGATGTCCTTGATTCTCCATTCGAGCATACAAATGCCCTAATTCTGTCTCAAGCAACTCAACCCTCTTGAGTTGAGCTCCTCCAGCATCCTTGCCTCCTTTATCTCCAACCCTTATCCCAGATGAATGCTCTGATACCATTTGTTATAGACTGGACTTATAAGAACAGATTCAATAACATAAAACAATCAAAAGATTCTAATAACGATTGAGAAACACTCTATAATACCAAATGATTACAAGTTTGAAGATAGGATAGCTGATTCTAGATAGGAATAAATTCCAGTTTTCACTCCAAAGATAGATTTTCACTGCCTGCCCACTACCCTCTACTTATACTAAATAATATAAAATACCTAAACTGCCCCTAATGTCCTTTTATTTGTTGAATTTCTCATATTGCCCTTATCTATCATATATTGCAGAAGTTGATGCATAACAACTTGTTTTTATGATGTTTAGTTGGTATATAACTAAATACTACACATTTTCATGCTTCTATTTTCTCATTTAGAAACCAACAAGGTTAGCTCACGAATCGGTAAAACACCATCAATCAATCTGAGTCCATCACAGAAAATTATCAGAGGTTAGTTATATTACATTCATAATCATGTAACTTAACAATGTTAAGTGCCATTGCACTCATGTTAACCTTCATGATATCAGAGTTCAAGAAACGTCAAGTCAAGAAGTATTGTTCTCCAGACACATCTAAAGATGATTCAACAGGTTTGTTTTCTAAATGAACAATTTCTGAAATAGTTGCATATTGTTTTCACATTGCTGATTCCATTTTCTTTTTTCCAATTAGAATGGCAGGTCTTATACACTACTCAATTAACACAAAAAGCCAAGAAATTTCACGATGGAATCTTAAAAGTTTTAATTTCTGGGTTGCGGGGGAGGCAGGTTAAATTTCAACACATTTTTGCATACTCACCAAACAAAATTACACATTTTCATACTTTTTTTTTTTTTTTTTTTTTTTTTTTCCCTTAGGCGATTCTGTATGATGAAACAAGGGCACAATTAGACAGCAGATTCCTTAAAAAGGAGGAAACTATTACAGCTGGCGAATCAATGAAATTTGATGGTCATATAGTTGACATTATAGAACTCAGAGACCATAAACCTCTCAAAGATACAGATGCTGATGGAAGAAATTTCTATAAACAGAACACAATGCCTTCCAAGAATCATAATGAGCATCTTGCTGGTTTGTTCATCTATTCATTTTGTTGCATTTTTTTGGTGAATCTTATTTATCTTATGTCATTGTTATGTAAATTCAGAGTTCAAGAAACATGAAACAAACATGTCTTTCACAAAAACAGATTTAAAAGGTCAGTTCTATACATTATTTGACTTCTGCAAGGCACATTTCTCATTGACTTTAAGCATCCACAATGTTCTGTTATGTCTATTGCATTATTATGATTTATCGTTGTCTTTTTCAATTAGAGTGGAATGTGATGTACACTACACAAATAACCCAAAAGGCCAAGAAGTTCCATGATGGTGTCTTAAAACTTGCAAGTTGTGGATCACAAGGGAGAGAGGTCAAATTTGTCATTTTTATTATACAAACATGTTTCTATCTCTTTTGTTTACCAATGGGAGGATATCATCACAGGAGGCTACTTTGTTAGCAGAAGATGGAACAATATTGTCACATAGATACCTTAAACTCTCTGAAGGCATCAACAGTGGAAGTTTATTCAACATGTCACATTACTTGGTGGAAATTGGTGAACAAAGGAAATGTTCTCAAGGTAGATTTTATATTTCTTTAGTGTCATAGTTGTGTGAAATTACATGAAACTATGGATGATGATCTGTTATTCTGTTATTGGCTTAAATGTGTAGGGGAAAGTTCAAGGAAAGCTTCTACATTGGAAAATGAAGATGTAGAGAATATCAAATTATCTAAGAGAATCCCAGCTAACAGACCTCTATTTGATGGTAAGATTTAATAGTCTGTTTGGTATGATGGAATAAAATCAACAAAGTAATGGAATGGATGATTACATTCCATTATCATGTTTGGTTGCCTTGAAGGAATGGAATAAGTCATTCAAACATCTTGTTTGTTATGTACATTTAGAAAACTAAATGAATTTAAATTGATTGATAAAGAAAAAATGTTATTTTATACAAATAAACTTTAATCAACTGCATTGCTAAGTTAATGACATATAAAAGTATTTCATGTTCGTTTCAAATGTAGACTATATATATATTTCACGTAGTAAAAAAAGTTTATTTTCGTTTTAAAAAAATTGTTTACACAAATAAAAAAATAAATTAAATTAAATATACCATGGAATCTTGAAGTAGACTTAAAAGAATAAAAAAAAGCAATGTAATTAAACTTAATTTTAAAGATATTGGTGTTATCAAAGATTTTTTAAATAAAATAATCTATAACCATGATATATCATTCCATTCCATCATGGAATGCATCACATTGCATGATAAATGTTCCATTCCATTCCTATGTGGCAAACAAATATGATTTTCACTTTCCATCATAATGCTCCAATTCCATTCCACATATCTGATTACTGCATATACCAATCATTATCTTGATGCATGATA